AGTAACTGGATGTTTTTCATGCTCAGCAGTGCTCACAGGCAGCATTCAGTCTGTATGAACTTTGCAACTCTGTATTTTGCTGCTCTCTTTGTCCATCTTTCATTTTATTTGATATGTTTCCTAAAAGACAAATATGTTGATGGTTATTTCTTGGTCAATCTGTGGGCAAACTTGGATATCAAAAGGCATTCAAAGAAATTCACAACCAGGATTTTCTAAGGAAGGAAGATCTGTTGAGCAGGAGCTTCTATGGTCATTTAGTGTCGGTAAAATTAAAGCAAATGTCTATTTTAGGAAGATCTGCTGCCAGTTCATCTGATGCCTGTTCACATTCAGTGGGATAGGAATGTATTTGCTATTAGTATTTTTTCTGTTTTATGTCTTATTTTCCACACTGACAAGGACAGTAATGTTCATAGCTCATTGTATGACAGAGCACCTAAAAACATCCAAAAGAAAGCATTATAAAATACTCTCTGTCTTTAAAGAAGTAACTTGTGACAAGTAAACAAGTAATTGTGCCACTGGATTACTGTGGGCTGGCAAATAAACACACTAATTGAAGTAAAATTGTTGAGAAAATACTAAGAATTGGTTCAATTTCTCATCTTTCATTTCTCCTTAGTTGTATAATTACCTTTTTTTGCCAGCAGTATCAAGGCATAAATAATACCTTCTTTTCATAGAACAGACAGAATCTTTAAGGTCATCATCCAGTTCCAACCCTCTGCTGTAGACAGAGACACCTCCCTCTAGATCAGGTTGCTCACAGCTCCATCCAGCCTGGCCTAATGCTTCCAGGGAAGGGGCATTCACAGCCTCACTGGGCAATCTGTTCCAGTGTCTCACCATCCTCACAGTAAAGAATTTCTTCCTAATATCTAGCCTAAATCTACGTTCTTCCAGTTTAGAGCCATTTCCCCTCATCCTGTTGCTACATGTCCTTTTAAAAAAATCCCTCCCCAGCTTTCCTGAAGGCCCTCTTCAGGTACTGGAAGGCCACTGTAAGATCTCCTTGGAGCATCTCTTCTCAAGGCTGAAGAACCCCAGCTCTCTTAGCCTGTCCCTTTAGGGGAGGTGCTTTAGACTTCTGATCATCATCTTTGTGGCCCTCTTCTGGACCTGCTCCAACAGCTCAGTGTCCTTATTGTACTGGGGGCACCAGAACTGGATGCAGTGCTCCATGTGGACTATTTTAACTAATTCAATATAATTTTCCCTTCCCTAATCACTTGTTTTTCCCCACTCTACTTCATAGTGACTTACAATTTGAACGTATAATGCTAATTATTCAGGTAGGATTGCTCACTGAAGAATCACAGACTAAGACCAATGTCTAATGTTATAGAGACTGGAATAAATCTTCCATGAACTAGGAACTTAGGAATATGTATCTAGGCAGACTGTCATTCTGCATGCATGAAGTCCGTATGATTTACATTTATCGCCTCACACCATTTACCACCTAGGTTGCACATGATGCTACAACTTCTCTGTGTGTCTTTTTGCATTCAGGACTGCTTATATCTTGGTGATACCTGTAGATCCCCCTAAAATCTTCATAAAATGGCTGGATCGTTTACATACAGTCAACATGCTTCAGGAATGTCACTGTAGTATTAGAGCCTTGTCTATAGCCTAGGATTTAATCATGATTCTTTGTCACTTCTATATAAAATAGATTTCTCTCTTGTCTTATTAATCTTTGAAACAATTTGATCAGTGCATCCTGAAGGCAACATATACAAACTTGAGTGGAGTTTCTATGAAGTACTCTGTTCCCATTTCCAGCAAAAAGCTTTCACATACCCTAGAACTCAGCTCAAGAATTGCCAGACTGAATGGATCCAGTGCTCACAAAGGTCAACATTATTTACAATATTAACACTTTGCATATATTTCAAAACTTTCCAGTGTATACATCTGCCCTGGTTTTAGCAGGGATAATTTTTTTTCTAACAGTACAGTGCTGTGGTTTGGATCTAAGATGAGAATAATGTCTTAGTTGTAGCTGAGCATTTCTTGCACTGAATCAAAGACATTTCAACTTCTCATGCTTCTGGTTGCCATATGCCACATTAATGGTGTTACAATAAGAATCACCCAAACTAATGAAGAATGAATTCTGATGATTCTGAAATTCTGATTCTTTAGTTGATGATGAGTAGTTCTTATAATAAGTCAAGCAGTCTTCAACTGCTTGTGGTGTCCTGAGAGCAAGTAGGCAGGTGTCTCAAGAAGCTGGGATGGGACAGAATCAGAAGAGCTTATCCAAACTGTACAAAGGAGTATTCCATACCGCATGACACTGTGATGAACAATAAAACTGGGGGAGTTGGCTGAGAGTGGCACTGGGCTTAGGGACTGCTTGGGTGTTGGTTGGCAAATGGTGAGCAATCACTTTGTGTATCACTTGTTTTGTATATTCTTTTATTGTTTTTATTTTATCTTCCTTTTCTGTCATGTTAAACTGTATGTATCTCAACCCATGAGTTTCAGCTTTTATTCTGATTGTCTCTCCCATCTCACTTGGAGGGGAATGAGAGAACAACTGTGTGGTGGTTATCTGTCTGCTAGGTTAAACCACAATACCAATAGATTTTCATAGTAATAAGTAACATTTTTAGTCATTTCTTTACTGTGCTCACTATTTAATTAAGTAAGAGCTGAGATGCTGAATCTTCAAGCTAAGGAATCGGTCTCATCTGAATAAGGCCTTGTAACACCCAGTACAGCTCCTGCTGTCTGGTGTGAGGAATGAAGTAAGGGACTGTGGATGTTCACAAAAGGGTGAATATACTTCTAGTGAGGTCAGTGCAAAAAAAAAAAAAAAAAAAAAAAAAATCTGAATTCCATCATCAAGGAGATCAGGTTACCTAGCCACATCAATAGCATTTTCAGCAGCTGAGAACTTCACAATCCTCCTGAAAACTAAAGGTATGAAGAAATAGAAAGGTTTTGTTCGTGTAGCCACTTGCCTTCAAAATGATATGAATGCAATTCACATTACATACATGTAATACACTTTGTTTGCTGAAGACTGTGTTTCCTTCTATTGCATTAATTTGTAAGGTAAAATCATCTTGTTTCCTTCTGGAATGCTGGTGAATCTGGAAGGCTCACATATATTGTAAATAAGCTTTTAAAGACAGCAATAAACAAAATAAATAAACAGCTTTTGAAGCCATAGGGAGGAACACAAGTTTTTCTGTAACATTTCCAAAGGAGTTTCTCAGTTTATAAGTTTAATTATATTTCCCTTACAGCCTTCCATGTTTGTATTCCAGTCTGAGTTAAAAGAAGTATCTCACAGATCACATTTTTTTTGCTAAATTTTATCATTGCATATCCCTTAATCTCTTCATCAGAGTTGTTGTCTTCAGGTTTAATGTTACATGTTCAATCAATTATGTTGCTTGAATAAAATCTTCTACATCACATAAGCTGGAGTTTTTCACTAACTTTTATAATCTTTTCATCTTTTGATTTTTTTTAATAGTTTCTTTTACCATGCCTTACTTTAGTAGCAGAATGTATATTTGTTCACAGTAAATGAAAATGCACCTTCATCCTTCAACATTTTTACACCTCATTTCATTTTACTTATGGATAGTCTTAAAAGTTTAAAGTCAATATTCACCTGTTAACTATTGGAATAATGTACTAGTCTACTGTGTGATGTTTACCAGTGAATTCGTAACTTTTAACATTTATTTCAATTTCTTTTACAACCCTTTCTCTAGCTTAAAGAAAAGAGTGAACATATCTAGTGTAGTTTTAAACATATCGAAAAAACAGACATGATTCTGCAGCTGACTGCAACTCATTAGTAAGAGCAATCTGTAATATTTTGGCATGAAAAAAACTGATTGGCTTTCAGTTGCTACCAAAATATATCTGTATGTCCATGTCATTAAACAAACCTTGTACATATGAGAATACATAGCAATCTGGTATTTAAGTATGAGCTGATGAAAAAAAAAAGATATAGTGATAAGATCAAATAACAGACATTTGAGACAGACATATTTTAAACAATCATGACAATCATCACATTTTTGTATTTGCTGTCAAGGCAATTCAATACGTAAGAATTTCCCTTTGAAAGCATCTATTGTTCTTGAGATTGCTTTTGTTTATACCTGTCACATAAAATAGTTTCAAAAACCAAAACTCATTAGCTTAATGAGTTGAATGGTTGAATACTTCAGCATGATAACTTATTTACTGATTTTCAGCATATATCTTTCAGAAAAGAAACTTGCCACCCAGCAAGTCAGCCATCTACCAATAAAGTTCAACAGACCTTTATAGAAGTGGAGACAAACACCACAATTATAAAAAGGATTATGAGAGACATTTCTAGAATTTCTCAACAAGCTATTTCTAAACAATCACTATTACCAGCTGAATTCAGTGCATGAGGCTGATTCAGTCAAATACCTAACTTAAAATCTGTTTACTTCTGCATCAGTATAATACCAATTACAGCCCTGGTTCACATAAACTGTACTTGAGACACAAGAATGCTCTACATTTAAATTCACTGAAAAGTTGGATGAATCGGGGATTTGGTCACTAAGATAGTTTATTTTCTCAATATCTTGCTTCTCTGTTCTTCAGAAGGTAAGAACTGACGTATTGCTAAAGTAACTCTAGAAGTTGTTTATTGGGAAACCTTTTTTTTTTTAAAACAAAGACTGTCTGCTACTGTGATTCTTTTTTAAAAACTGTATTTCTAGATTCTGCACCCTTAAAAAGGGGTGCAGTTTATCACACTGAAATAATTATAGATACTGTTTCTGTTTCTTTCTTTTTTTTTTTTTTAATTAAATACACATATTTCAGAACACTGGAGCAAATTATCCTTTTAAAATTCTCTATGGCATTTAAGAGTTGTGTTCTCATTTTGCAAATAGATTAAACAGCAAATAAAAAAGAAATAGAAAAAAGAAAAAAGAAAAAAGAAAAAAGGAAAGAGAAAAAAGAAAAAAATAGTTTAAAATGTCAATTTATGTGTAAGACTGAGACATACTCCACAGAAAATGTGAAAAATCTCGCTTAAAAGTTATAGTAAACAATCATATGTTCTTCAGTGCACATGATTAGTATGAACATTATAATTTAAAACTGAGTATTGATGACTGCTGCTCATAATTCTTAAAATCTCTTACAAAATATAAATAGGATAGCCAAGAGAGGATGGCTGATAAACCTTGATGTAAGGTTCTGTGAGGTTCATCCTTCTTCTTTCCTTATTCCTTTACTCTCCACTTAGACTAAAGATCCATTAGCTTCTTCAAAAAAGTGCATACATACACACACACACACAAATTAGTTCCAAAACCATTTTTCTAAATTTCCAATCGACTTGTATTCCTGGTGTCTTTTCACGTGATCACAAGCAAGACATGCATGTGATTCCCAGAATTTAGGAAGGTGCACTGAGAAATCCTTCTTCCAGTTGAAGTAACTAAGGTACATCTTGTTATTTTTGTCAAGCATCAGAAGATATTCTGCCAGATCTCTTGGGGATAGAAAATCTTCCACATGGATAAAAGAGTCTGCTGGAATGTAATTCTCGTAGTTTTCTCTGGAAGGGCCCAGTACGACTGGCACTGATCCAGCCAGAAGAGCATTGTAAAGTTTCTCAGTAATGTAATCTTTGTGGATTGAATTTTCAAACGAAAGATAGAATTTGCAACTGGAGATAGTTGGAATTAAGTTTTTATCGTTGACATAGTCTCCAAAGGCTTGGCCGTAGGTATGGATTTCAATATATTTGCTAAGCTCATTGTAATACTTGACTCGAGCATGCTCAGGGTTCCAATTACTTACAACCCAACAAACCAAGTTTTCTTTACTTGGCACTTCATATGTAAAGGAGCCTGTACCGACCATCATGGAGCCATAAGGCACCTGAATATCTGAATCACGCCGGTAAGTCAGGGTTAGGTTAAAGAGGTGTTCAATGCCACTCTTTTGTGGAGTATGAGTTGGAGATTCCAAGTTCATCCAAATCCATTTCTGGAACGGTGGCCTGGCTTGCTGAGGTAAATTAGTCAGATCCCAGTTAATGTCCCTGTGATGAATGAGAACTGCGTGGGACTTGTTATATAATGAGCGGTCAATAGTCAGATGGCACCCGTGGATGTTGAACATCATTTGGCAAGATGTTAGATCGAATGTCTGGCCAAACGGCCAAAGCCAAACCAAAATAATAGTTTCATTAAAATTATCAGTTTTGGAAGAAAAGAAGCTCTTCATTTTCAAAACTGAGCTGGCTGATTCCACAGGAGTAGAGATCCAGCTGCTTGTTGGTTTAATATAAATTAGTATAAATGCCATGAAACAACCAAGAACAATGAAGACGATCAAAAATGGCCGGAAAATTCCTTTAGATGTTGATGTCATAATTTGTTCTGAGGAAAAAGAGAGGAAGACAAACAGAGCAAATAACATCAGGTTCTTCAAATACATATATATCTATCTCCTCTTAAAGCAATCAGACATAGAATCATAGAATCATAGAATTGCTCAGATTGGAAAAGACCTTAAAGATCATCAAGTCCAACCACAACCTAGCCAAACTACCCTAACAACCCAGACATCAGACATCAAAATGGACAAACATCAATATTTCTGTTCTGTAACTTCAGAAACTTTTAAGTAAAAAAGGGATGCCCTATCCCTGTAAGTGCTCATACTCATGCTGGATAGTGCTTTGAACAACGTGATCTAGTCTAGTGGAAGGTGTCCCTGTTCATAGCAGAGGGCTTGGAAGATGATTTTTAAAGGTTCCAACTCAAATCATTCTGTGATTCTCTGAATTTATTATTCTATAAGTGTATGAGTTCTTGCGCAGCATTCATGGAAAAGTTTTAGATAATGCCATATTCGTATTTATCTTCTTCACATGAGAAGCTAACATATAAATTGAAAGTAGAGTTTTAAGATATGTGATGCTTGATATAAATCACATATCTTAAGTGTTTTTACGTAGAATTTAGGCCAAGAGTTTTAGATGCACAAAATTATACTTTGATTCTTTCCTTGTGTATGGGTAAAAGCTAATATGCTGCAGTTTTGGTCTGTATATATTTGTGTGCATATGGAGGATATAGCTTTAGAGGAATGAAATAAGTTGGTACTGGAACTTCATTTCTGGGATTAACAAGACTGTTAAAAAACTAGCTTGTGACTGATGAGTATATGGAGATGAACATTCTTACTTTTTCCTTGTGAGTCCTAAAACAGATAGGGAAGGAAAGCAGTAATACAGGTTCTCAGCTCTCCTGTTCTCGTAATCAGCCTTATAAAGAGAAATGAACAATAAAGTATCCTAATCATTTAACTACGTTTTTATGCCACAGTCCTTTGTTAAACTTTAAGAAAAGTACAGATACGCTGCTTCTTTGTGAGGCGCCTTTTCTTTCTCTATAGGGAAAAAAGAGTAGAGTGAGAAGTTCATACAGATTCCTTTGTCCTTTCTCTGATTGTTTCTTCCTGAGAGAACTGATAAATCTCTTTACAACACTTGTCTTCCGTATGGTTCTTGTGAAACCTGGCAGAGTTAGAGATTGCTTATGGCTAACCTCTACTCCTGAATGTAGCCCTAGAACACAAAAGTGTTCTAAAAATAAAACAGTTACCCATGTGAAAAATGCTGTGACTTAAAAAGGAAAAAGGAATAGAAGTTAGTTACCAAGAAGAAGTGTACTCTATTTGTTGGCATACTGTAAAAGATTGAATTGTGCATTTCAATTTGTCTGGCTTTCTTTTCCTGCGTATTTCTCAGTGCTTTCAAGTTTTGTTATTTTCCTAGTTAGCTGCACCAAAAATAAATAATTAAATAAATAAATTATATATATGTATATATGCATATATATATATATATATAAAACTTCCACTCCTAAAATATATGTATAAAATATATACTCTAAATAAAAAAAGGTGTAAAAAAAATAATCACTGACAGAAAGCAGAATTTCTCTTAAGTCAGTTCGTCTCATTTAACGTGTGAGATAAATAATTACATTCAGCACAAAGACACAATAGAATGTGATTCAGAGGTCCATTAATGCAAGTACATGTACTGCTTTGTGAGTGTAAGAGCTGATGTGTGAGTGTAGCAACACAGTACAACAAAATGTATTTTCACATTCATTATTGAGGAAAGGGACAGAAAGGGGAGTTCTACACTAGTATTATATCTTGAGGAAAAAATAATGTGCCACGCTTTCTTCCTTATTTTGGAAAGTCAGATAGTCTTAATTCTGGTTGTATGTATTGTGGTGGGTTAACCTTGGCTGACTGCCACTTGCTCTTGGCCCCCAGGTGCTCTCTCTCTCTCCTCAGCAGGACAGGGCCAGGGGAGGGGATGGCAGGAATTAAGATGGAAAGACTCATTGAGGTAAGGGCAGGAAGATCACTTACCAATTACTGTCATGGGCTGACTCACTTAGGGGAAAATGAATGTAATTTATTGCCAATTAAAATAGATGTGGATAATAAGAAACAACAAAAATTCAAACACTTGTACCCCTCAGCCCCTTCTCTTAGGCTCATTTTCACTCTTTCATTCCCACTTCTGCCTTCCCTCTAAGCAGTGCAGGAGAGCTGGGTAACAGAGGGTTGTGTTCAGTTCATAACAGCTCTTGTGTCACTCCCTCCTCACACTTTCTGCTTATTCCAGCATATGCCATCTCCACTGCTGGGCCCAGCCATGCCCTGCAGTGGGGCTGTGGGAGCTGACTGGAACCAGCTGTATGTGGCATACAGCAGCCTTGACTTTTCTGCACAGTGGAACTGGGCAGCCACCTGCCATGGACATAGGCACCCAGTACAGTCATTTAAAATATTGGAGTTGAGTATGCCTGTCATCTCAATCCCCTTCTTATGGATAGAGTTTAGCAAGACCTCTATGCTTTTAGCAAAGCCATATTGAAAGGAGAAGAGGGGAAGTACTGTTGTGTCCTTGACTTTTCCATTTAGTCTCATCAGTTCAAGTTCAGTTTGTGGTTCTGCAGATACATCACACAGGCTTTTCTTCAGATTATGCTGATTTTTGCTGGAAATATGTCTACAGAGAAGTTTTTGACCTGACCCATGAGAACAGAAGATTGTTTTCCTGCTTTTCTATGAACAAAATTGGAGCATGTTCTCTAAGGAGTAAGGGATTTGGGTCAAACAGCTCAAAGAGATGAAACTTGAGACAAAAACAAGGGGCTGAACCAATCTTCATAAGGCCATTCTTACTTTCTCTTCTATTGAAACTAACATGCGGAATAGGTTTATCTTTTCACTTAAGAGTTGACTTAAGTTCTGTGAGTTGAGTTCAAGAATAGGTTGAGGAAGGTGTCTATTCACAGAAACTGACGATTTTCCGAATACTAAAATTGCTGGGAAATCAGAAAAGTACCTTAATCTTCTGTCTTGTTCTGTAGTCACCCCCCAATTAAAAGCTCTTTGATGCTCTCTGGCAGGGGTTATTTTAAACTAAACTCATCTCCTAAGTAATGAAAAACCCTGCATAAACGCATGACAGTTCCTGCTTTGTAGGAAATAGTCAAATATGATTTATTCTGTTCTCTGCATGAAATTAGGTGTACACTGTGTGGTATTTGTGTCTTTGAATAGTAGTGACAATGTGAGGATAAACTACTTCTGTATCCACAAGGCTGATATTAGCATCTCGCAACATTAAACGAGTTTACTTATTCTGTCTTCTCTAAATGTTTCCTCATGTTGCATTGGTGCCCCCTGTACTCAAATGTCCCCTACTGATCTGAGTTCGTGGTTCTTAGTTTTTACCTTTCACCAAAAGAGTAGCTCATGGCCAGGATACTAATGTTAATTTTTCATCTTTTGGGTTCAGAAAACTATTATTATGCAGACTCACACATCCATTAGGAGATACATAGGTGCTGTTGGCATGCTTCACTTTGAAGCTACTTCTAATGGGATGCTGCAAAAGTTTTGTAAAAGTAAGACACATTACAACCTGGAATGAGAGGTTGGCAAGGAAGCAGAAGAGAGAATACTTCTAGCAGTATTATTTGCCTATGCCTAAAGGAGCTGACAAGATTTTGTTGTGACTGCAGCAATGACTTTTGAAATGTAAACATGGAGTAGCAGTCACTTTTCAGAGTGAAGTACTGACCTTTGTCCTCTGTAAAGCAGATGAGGAAAAAACAGACTGCCTTCATGGCTTTTGAGACTCTTTGTCCTAAACACAGACAGCAGCACAGTGAAGGCATGTGGCAAACACTTATTAAAAAATTGCATTTTCTTGAGAAGTAGTTTGTCTGTAATGCTAGGATATATAGGCTGATTCTGTTTAATTTGCCCACTAAAATTTGTGGAAGATATTTTTCTCACAATGTTCTTCAAAATGCGTCTTTCAATTTAACATTTTCTTCTTCCCTTTTGTGCTCAAGGTAGCTGCTGATCTCTTGCTGTGCTTCTTTCTCTCTATAAAGGTGACAGACAATATGTGGAGACATTCATTGCAATACATCCAGCCAAGTAACCTTAGCTCACCCTTCCTCTTTTATGGCTTTCTTTCCACCACAGAAGCACACACTTCCTTTTTCCAGATCCCCTCCCCCATCAATTTCTGTCATGGCAGCCTCTGAAAAGAAAACTTGTCAAAGAAATGTGTTTACTGAGACTATTGCCAAATGAAAGAATGCAGTATCTTTGATAGTTTCATTATAAACTACATTTCCAAGTGTTGTGGTATAGCAAGAATTTTCTAGGTGCCTTTTTCCTATTTGAAAGCTTAGTAGTGCAAGACTATTTTCCTCAGCAGAAAACTTAGCAAGGCTTCCTTTTAAGTGCAGACTTTGGCATTCCATCACCAAGCAACTCCATGTAGTAGCAACAAAACCACAGGGATAATGGGCAGGGTACTAGGAGCATTAACCCTGAGTACACCAGGCAAGGCTTACAAAATATTGTATGAAGGCATAATGTTCACAAAGAAATAAAATGCAATTTTATAAAACCTATTTCATGGGTCCTTTACAATGATGACTTCTTAATTATTCCAGGAAAGGATAGACATAATGTTTTATTTCTGATTATGCTAACTAAAGCGGAGAGAAGAAAGGTAGCATTTCTGGTCAGTTATGCCAGTGCCTGTTTTCCTGGCATACCTTTACATCACCCTCACTGGTATACCCTCAAAGTTTTGCCAGTAGCCCAAAATATGTGCCTACTTGCAGAGGTGTAACTGTCATTACTAGTCTAATGCTGAGATATTCCAAAGGATTAGTGGCACAGTCCTATGATTTTTCAATCCAAAAGAGCTGGCCACTGTGTCCATGAAAAAAACACTGACTGTCAGCACAGGCAGCCGCTGCAAATCTCCTAGATGAGCTAAAATGACATTCTGGAGGATTTGGAGGTGTGCAGGATT